AAAAAAAAAAAAAAAAAAAACTGTTGCATTTTATATACAAATAAATGAGACATTTAATTCTGGGTAATTTACATTCAATTTTATTATTAATATTTTGTACATAATACTTCAATATTAATAAACATTGGGGGAATAAAAAAATAATTTATAGCTGCATCAAAAAGAAATAACTAGGAAGAAGCTGAATTAAGATAAAGGATTTATATAATGAAAACCTTAAAAGACACTATATAAAGGATCTAAAAACAAGACATAAATAGATGCAAAGAAATTCCATGTTCATGAATGGAAAGAATATACTCAAAATGTCTATCTTACCAAAAACAATACACCCAATGCAATTCCCATTAAAACTTCAATAATATTCTTCAAGAAAACAGAAAAGTGGCTCTCCCTGGTAGCGCAGCGGGTTAAAGCACAGCACTGAGAAGCTAAAGCCACTTCCGCATGAGTTGATTCCCACCTGCCCCAGAGGTGAACACAGGGTGTGGCAGACCTCTCCTGACCCTCCCGCTGTTCCCCTCAGCAGTGCATTTTGTTGATCTGCCTGTTGTGCTCCCCGATCTGTCTCCGGTGAATCCTCTCGCGCCCCTGAGCCTCTGGCCTGTACCCCAGTTCTGTATGAACAAATACATAAATCTTTAAAAAAAAAAAACGAAAACAGAAAAGTACCAAAATTTATATGAAACCACAAAAGACCTCAAATAGCTAAAGCAATCCTGAGAAAAAAGAAGACAAATGGTGGCATCATGTTACCTGGTTTTAAACTATATTATAAAATAACAGTAACTAAAACAGTGTGTGGCTGAAATGAAAACAGACACAAGACCAATGGGAACAGAACTGAAACCCAGAAATATATCCATGTATATATACATCAATACCCAATTTATGGCAAAAAAAAAAAAGCCATGACTATGCAAAGGAAAAAGGAACAGTTCTTTAAAAATGGTACAGGGAAAAATAAAACAATGAATTTGGATCCACTCTAGTTCTATGCATAAAATTGATTAAAGACTTAGACTTAGGACTTATAACAATAAAACACATAGAAGAAAAGCATTGGTGATACATTTAGTAATATCAATAATAGAGATTGGAATCTTTGGAAATTCAAGCCCTAAAGCAAAGGAAACAAAACCAAAAATTAACAATTGGAAACTATGTCAAATAAAAAAATTCAATACAGCAAAATAAAATGCTAACAGATTAAAAGGACACCCTAGTGAGTGGGAGAAGATATTTATGTATCACACCACCCAGAAAAAAAATAACTCATGGGACTCAACAACAAAATAAAAAGCCAATTATAAGATGGGCAGCAGATGTGAAAAGAATTTACCGAAGAGAATTATAGAAGGTCAAAAGATAAAGAGAAAATGCTCTCATCACTTTTAATAAGGGAGATGCCAAGTCAACACCATAATGAGATATCAATTCACACCTGTGACACTGACCTACAATAAAAAGGCATCCAATAGCAGGTGCTGAACAGGATGTGGAGAGAGAGGGAAATATTAACACATCTTAGTGGGAATATAAATTGATATAACTATTTTGGACAGTGGTCTGAGACTGCCCTTAAAAAAATACAAATGGTAGTACCATATCACCCAGCATCCCATTTTTTGGTATCTAATCTGAAGAATTACAATAGCATCAACTCAAAAAGTTACATGTTCCATAAATATTATTGCAGTATTATTTACAATAAATAGCTAGGATATGAAAACTAAGTGCTCAGTGTTAAAGAACTGGGTCAAGATGTGGTATATCCATTAAAATGGAGTATTATTTAACTATAAGGAAAGATGAAATGTTACCAATGACAACAAAATGAAAGGCCTTCAAGGGAATTTATATGTAGCAAAGTCAGAAAGATAAAGACAAATATTGTATGATTTTACATGTATGAGTAAATACAAAATCAGAGTAGGTGGGCTAGTAAAACAACATAAAAAACCTAGAGGAAACTGACAACCAAAGTGAGGTTTCTGAGGTTGGGAGCTATGGGGGAAGGGGAACCCAAAAGGGCCAGTAGGATAGGTGGTAGGGGAAATAAAAAACAAGAATTCTGAAAAATCTGAGCAGAATACAATGAATGTATTTAATGAAAAAATGGTTTTTTTTTTAAATTAGATAGTATATGATCATTTACATGACATTCTGGGAAAGGTTAAAAAAAAACCCCAATAGTGACAGATCAAGTGGTTGTTATGCCTTAAAATAAGGTGTGACACTAAAGGGAAATGGAGTTTTGATGTGATACTGAGTCTAGACCATGGTATAACCTACAATCCTATTCTGTTTCCTCATTAAGGCTCTATTGAAACCAATTTTTACATGTGTTATAGCACTAAGAACAGAAAACCAAATGAAAAGTCACCTGTACTATAATTAAACTTTTAAAAAACTTTTAAGTCAGTCATATTCACATTAAATGGTTGAAAAAAAAAAAAAGTAAGATGTGAGCACAAAAGACACTGAGTTTGTATTTTTCCTCTTAGAAATCATCCTCACAGCCACTTCCTCTGAATTCTTCTGTTCCTGAAGTGGGGGTGGTGGTGGTGTTAAATCCATTCTAAACTTCACTTTGACTCTTTTTTAATAAGCAGTGACCTTCCCCCACTTCCAATTACCCTGTTAACAATGAGGTAGATGACTATATGTTCAATTTGTTACATTTCTATTAATATAAGTATGATAATGACTAAAGTTTTCATCAATTATTGTGTTGGTAAAGCAATATTTTTAAAATTCACTTGTCATAAGGGAAAACACAGTTTGTATATGTATTCTTTTTTATTTTTTTAAATATTTATTTAGTTATATATACAAAACATGGGTACAGTCCAGAGGTGCAGATGATTCACCAAAGACAGAGTGGGGAGCAGAACAGGCAAATCGAGAAGTACACTGCTGAGGGGAGCAGCAGGCGGGTCAGGAGAGGTCTGCCGTGCAATGTGGGTCATCTCCGGGGCTGGGGATTGAACTCATGCTGAAGTGGCTTTAGCTTCTTAGTGCTGTGCTTTAACCCGCTGCACCACCAGGGAGGGCCTGTATATCTATTCTTAAAGAAAAAAAGCCCATCCAAGAAATCAATATATTTGGTCACTTTCCCAATAGCATATTTAACACTGGAAAGTGATTTACCAAAAAATATTTCTCTAGTCTAGAGCCAATTCTACTGAAAGTATTTTCCCATTAATATGCTAAGTCACAACTGATTCTCAAGAATTTTTTTGCCGAAATATCAGTAGTAAAATAAAAATGAACAAATGTCAAGAGACTATGAACAGATTTTATTTCAACAGATACCCCAATAAATGAAAAAGGCCTTCTTCCCATTAAGACAGACCTTCATGAAGAAATTATGACTACTCTCTTTCTCCTAACATACATAACTTATTTTAAAGTAGTACTGCCAAGAGAATTACCACTAGAAATATACAAGTCTGACTAATACCCACTAATGTGTAAGTGAAAAAAATTCAGCTTTAGGAAACTCAGCTGTTTTCTATCTATATGATATCATTTATATAGAAGGGTCCTCAAACATTTATTTTCAAATGCACTTTTAGCTAGAACTTAAAAAGCAGGTAGGGGGTAATACTATGCTATTAATTTAAGCATCCTACTATAGACATAAGAACATAGATTACATATTAAATAAACCTAATTTTAAGATGGAACCCATGTCAACCCATTAAATACAAGATGTATGTGGTTATGTATACTGAACAAAATAAATACATAAAAGATAAACAAAACTAAAGAACCTCAATGAAATGAGGCTGAGTCCTAAAAGTGCTTAATAAATGAAAAAGGTGTCATAACTGGTAGCACATTTCCATACCCAGCTGCTGCTTCTGTGAAACAAAAATACGCTTCTGAGCCAGAAAGCATATTTAAGAACTACCTGCACTTTCACAAATAGGTAGTCTCTTCTCTGAACTAAAGTACTAAAAGTAGGTGAGGGTTGGTGACATACACCTGAGGAGAGGTGAACCTATTTCGCCAAAGTCATGTACAGAGCTGTAAACCAATATTACTTCAATAAATAAACATATAATCTTTTGCCAATCTTTAAAAAAAATTACATAAGTGTTAAAAGCAAAATCAAGTCTAGAAAACTCTAAAGCAAACCCATTATAAAACATAAACCAATACCAATTCTTATGGTTTCCTAATATGTAAAGACATTTATGTTTATGGTCACTGAAAACATGCAGATATAGGTATTTCCAGCCCAAATGTTCCATTCTCCAGCTCCCATTCTCACCATTATAGGTGGTTCTACTCAAACCACCTATAATTTAATGGAATCACAAATAGCGTGGACTAATAAATCATGAAAGGCACTTTAGAAACAAACAGCTCATCAGCTTGCCACTTTGTGAAATATACACATGCAGCAAAGAAACACCAATTATGGCTGGTACGTACGTTCCTTCCGGTGCTCAACTAAGCCCACAGCCTGCTTTGCTGAACACTTTGCAAACCAATTGTCCCCAAGTAAAACAGTGACTTCATTGGTATGGACAAGTTTTCCTGGCATGAAGGCAAAGGGGCCAAGTGGTACCTATTCAAAAAGAAAAAGAATATTTAAAAAGGCAAAACTATTAAAACACTAAAAATAATAATGCTTTGTAAACTGCTATCAAAGTCTTTATAAACACTAAAAAAAGAAAATGTCAACTTCATAGAAATTTAACACTGATTTAAAATTTCACTAGGAAAACCTATAGAAAGGTGTTTTAGGTTAATAAATCAACATAAAAATAGGAAAAGAAATCAGAGAAATGAGCACCGACTTTGAGTGTTTATATGTTTTGTTAATTCATAATGTACATGAATACAATCTAAGTATTAAGCTAATAAAGAATACCTTTGATTTTTAAAAAAGTCTTTTTTGCAAAGCAGGAATTAATAAACAGCTTTAGTGAGTCTACAGAATTAACAAAATATTTGGGCCAGTATAATAAAGAACAATACAGTGGCAGAATATTTGGGCTTGTATAATTAAGAAGAAGAAAGTCTTTATGAGAAAGAATATGCATGCAATGAAAGAGTGTGATCCAAAGCTCATGAATAGATTGCTAAATCAATATGAAAGATCATTCACACCAAAATTAGTCACACCTTTTGAGATAAAAATCAATGTTCTAAGGTTGAAATCTGTGACTTATACAACATTTTGGACTGTTCCTGCTCTAACTAACAGAAAACAACTGTCATATTTCTATCATAATTAGTTTTCTAACACAGCAAATTTGCATTCCAAGTATGTCAGATTTTGTGCTAACATTTATGCCATTTATGTCACCATATAATAATTTAATAAATCTGAAAAAAAGAAAAGTAAATACCAACTATTACTACAATTAATGTATTTTTATTAAGTACAACAAAAGCCTTCTTTGTTATGGTAGTTACTTTTGAGTTAGTCCATCAACTTGGCAATTTGTGAATTGATACATTGCACAAAGAAACACCTTCTGACTCTACATAATATCTTTATAAAAAACAAAATACTATTTAAAAAAACACAACAGACATACCATGATATTATAAGACAATTTATCAGGCAAAGTACTGAGTCTTTCTTGAAGGGCATTATAGTCACTATCTACCTTCTTCCTGTTAACAAAAAAAAAAAAAAAAAAAAAACAATACTCAAATACTACAGAAAACACAAATTAACAATTCAAGTAAGCTAAGTATCATAAAACTACGCAAAAGCTTAATTTTATCAACTGAGTATTTTTAAATTTTAAGTACTGTTTTTACAAAGCTTAACTATGGCATGATTTTACAATACATTTATCAAAGAATTTAGACTCTCAAAGGCTATGGCTTTTAAAGGTAGAACACTCACATCTTGAAAATTATGTTTCCTAAGGTAGAAGAATATTTGAACTAAATAAAATTTGTATATTAAGGGAGATAGTGAAGAAGGGTTATGATGGTTGAGGGAAATAGGGACACAAAATGAAGAAAGAGGAGATTTAATAATAACCTTTTGAGTGATGAATAAACACTAGCTGTGGAGTAGAAATCATGAACATGAAATCTGATAAGATGATTTAGTCCTTCTCAGAAAACTCTATGTTGAAAAATGTAGTGTCATCAACCTTTCAGTTATTCCTATTAACATGGTTTTAAGGTGAGAGAGATTCAACCAGGGACTATAAGAAATTAGGTAGAAGTCAATACAAAAGGCAGCTTAATTTTGCTTTGAAATCTGTCCCATTTTATTTCAAATAGCTGTCTGATAAATTAATTTCCAACAACCAAAAGATGCTGTTCTGTAGGAGCAGAAATGGTTATGTTTCTAGTTCTTAACACCTGCTAGAAGTGAAAAGTCCTATGCAGAGATAGCTGTTTCCAAACCTTCTCTGAAAACTAGGTTTTCAAAAGGTTCCCTGTAAGGGTATAAGGCTGCAGGTAAAACCTTTTGCTTTTTTTCAGTTTAAAAATAGCAACAAAAACAAAAACTTACCAATTTAGTAAGTAATTCAAAGGAACATGTAGATTAACTGTCAGATTAAAGTTAGGATAAATTACAACCATCTCTCGCAATAATAAAACAACTGTTCTCTAACCTTCATGGCACTGGTTTCAGTTTACTCCCTTAGCTTCCCTACAGCAACAGCAGCAAAATTAATAAAAATTATCTCATTTAGTCTGAAGAATATAAAGGAGTTTTACATGTTATTCATTCTAAAACTATTCCTACTGTAAATGTTACTTAGCAACATTTTCCTTTTACACCAGAACACAGAAGATGGAAAAATGACACATTTTAGAGAAATCAGATCTCTGGCGAAGCAGTAAGGCAGTGAATGTAACCCAGGTCTCGGACCTGCATTCTCTCAAGCAAGCTTTTTCACCTCCTCCCTAAAATCTTATTTTTATAAATAAATGTTAAATGTTTTTATTGTATTTGTTTTAGACAAAAATCATCCTACTGGACAAATTTTTATGTGGATGAAATGGTATTTTAAAAATCCATGCACTGGGCTATATATCAAAGAGAACATGGTTTTGAATTCAGATGAAGGAGTGAATCCCAGCAATAAGACTCGATGTTCACAAGTTAACCCCAGTCTTAGCATCATCAATGTTTGTAAAACTGGAATAATGCCTATGTCACAGGTTCACAAGAACAAAAATAACACTTGAGTGCCCAATATCCCTTTTTCAATGAAGTGTCAAAAAACACCAACTCTACAATTTTCATGAAAAACTACTACCACTGAGATAAGATCCCACTATGTTAAATTCATTCAGTGATATAAATAATAGGGCTTACTATAAGACAGTATAACTAAATGTAATCACATGGTGGCTCTGGAGATAGCGCTGGTGGGAGCAATAAATGGTATACTGTCTTGTCTATAATGAACCAAGTTAGATTGTATAGTTACAATGCCTATACAGTAATTACTCATTATTAAATTACGTAACAGTACATATGTTTTAGACAAGGAATTTTGTAAATGCTCAAAGACTATACATTGGCTTAGATGTCTTAAATGTTCCTACAATTTTAAAAGCCTAGTATTAAACTTAACATTCAATATATATGATGTTGGTAACTACATCTGGAAAAGGGGGACACCCTTAGAAAACATCTCTTGTATATATGAAAAATAGATTCAACCACTGGTAATACAAGAAACCAATGTCAGAATCCCAAATCAAGTACATTCAGTTTTAAACTTATCAGTAATTCTCTAGAGAATAAAAACATGAACATCCAGAAGTTTAAGTAAGTTGCCACTATTAAATTTTGAACCATTTTCATAAATACAAAAAGGAGAAAATATTTGAAATATACCCCAGGCAGAAATCCACTTTGCAGAGAGTACCAAAAAATTATGTCTGAAGTCCCATTAGTAGAAATATCCAAAATTAAGTATTTTATCAAAGACTATCTCTAAATGGTCCTCTAATATCTGGGCCTCAAATAATCCTACTATTAAAGATCACAAAGCCTACGCAACAAAAACACTAAACTGGCTTATGAGTAAGTTGTAGATCTTTATTTGTACCAAAATTGGAACCTTTTAATTTTTTTTCTATTTCACTACTTACTACTTACAATCAAATAATTAATGTTTGGACACTGTAATCATAAAATATATAGTAAGAGAAGCAATTGCTTAAAATGAGTTCTTTTTCAAAACGAAAATAAAACCCAGATATAGTTGTAATAAACCTCTCAAGTCTACTTATAATATGTGGACTTCCTCGTTTGGCTTAACACATATAATCCTTAATAGTTAAGTTCAGCCTTCAGTTCTTAAAAAAAAACTATACAATAAATGAGATTTAATTTGCATCAGATATCCTCATGCAGTATCCCTTATTTAAAAAAAAAACAGCTAAAAACAGTATAATATAAGACATATAAAAACACTTTTACAATTTTGACTCTTGTGAGTCATGTGATGTATGTCTCCTGAGCAGCAATTTTTGTTTTAAAAAGAAGCAGTGAAAGCTAAAAAATATGGAAGAGCAAGTGAGTGATTCGAGTACTCTGAGGTACATCAGAACAAACTGACTTATGAACAAATAGGTGACCGAAGTTCTCTCAATGTTTCTGCATGTTTGAAGATTTTCATAATAGATTATTTATAGAAGGTGGGGGGAGGGAAGAGATGTTAGAGGGATTCTATATTTTAATTCTCCTTTGAAACACAACTGATCCCAAAAAAGTCTATGTAAAGGAAAAGAAAAAGCTGCTATCCCTTGTTTGGGGCAACTGATAGACTTCAACTTCTAGCTCTAAATATTATTAATAAAAAAAAAAAAAAGAAAAGAAAACGTTTATCACTGATTGAAAAAAACACCTTGCAAATTTTCACTTTAAAGCAGAAAGTTGGAGTAGGTAGGAAAAAGTGATATCAAATCAGTTTTTAAGAATCTCCTATTTTTCTCTTTCCCTTTACTTAATACCCTAAACAAAAAAACAAGGGAAAAAAAAAAAAAAAAACAAAAAACAAGGGAAGCCTAAAAAGCAAAACCAAAAAAAAAAAAAAAAAATTAACAGTAATATTGACATCCAGGTTGATCTGGGGCAGAATTCTTTCTCAGTTTTTAAAAAATCATAAAACTTAAGATTTTAGAATATATATGTAAATATACAATTTTCTTTAGACATGATTTTTTTAGTCCATTGGTTACCACACTATTTAGAACTTTCTCTTAAGTATGCAAGGAAACAACCTCTGTTTCAGTTCATTTCTTTTACAGAGTGTTGTCTCTGCAGCCAAGTCTTATACTCCAGGGATTGTCACTCAAATCTAGCCACTAATACAAAGAGACGCCTAGGTTTCCACCACTACAACTAACACAGAATATTCAGCTCAGGCAATATTCAGCTCAGGCATGGGTTACATACAGGTAAAAGTCATCTTCACATTACAAAGGTAATGAATTTTTTCAAAGAATCCTCTTTAACAGTTTAGTCCAAACAAATTGCTATGGTTACATTAAACTATAAATAATTCCTGGAACTATTTTACCAATTAGCAATTGCTTAAAAATGTATCTATATTAAATCAGTGGCACTTTTTTAATCATCAAGGTAAAACATTAAAACAAATGAAATCTACCACAAAATTCAGGTAAGTGTGGTGGGATGTTTCCATCCCTCAACTTTCTTAAGGCTAAGATGTCACCAGAAGTTGTTGATGTGCATGCAAATTATATTTTGAATCTATCAGAAACTTACTAAAAATATGCAAAGATAAATATAAAAACATAATTTTTCAAAAATTAATGAAGCAAAATCACAGAACTAGCTAACTAGAGTTCTGCAGTTCAACTTTCAGCAATGAGACAACAGGCGACTGACACTAGTAGCAGATGAAACACAGAGAGACTCTAGAGCCTCCGCTCTGACAACCACGCACATGTGTCTTAAGGTCTGCTGTTATCACCAGTACCTGTTTCTTCATCAGTACTCTTTTGTTCTAATAAGTGAGATGTGATTCAAAGTAAGAAAGGTCAAAAATTATACAAAACACATAAATCTGAATGTGCAAGAATGATCCCAAAGTGCTAGTTCAGTTAGCTTTAAAAGATAAGTTTATTGGGAATTTGGTAATGAGATGCATGATTTATTTTTTTAGTGGTTTGCATTATCCTTAGTCAGTATGATACTTATCCATCTTTTCATATATTAGAATTTAGACATTTTATCCCAAAACAAGCACCCTAGAGTTATCACGAGTGACCCACAAGTACTATACCTTCATTTTCAAACAGTGCTCTTCTGTGCTTCAAAGTTTTACTTTACAAAAAAAGGAGTTAATATGACTGAAATATCGAACAATAAAAACATTCTTAAAAGTACATACAGTGGTGGGCCCTCCCTGGTGGCACAGCGGGTTAAAGCACAGCACTGAGAATCTAAAGCCGCCTCCGCATGAGTTCGATTCCCGCCTGCTCCGCAGGTGACCACATGGCGTGGCAGACCTCTCCTGACCCGCCCGCTGCTCCCCTCAGCA